GACAGTTGTTGGGATGAGAGCTGGGTGTTATACATAGAGGATGAATCACTGGATCGTTATCGCACTACATGCTAACTTTGATGTAAATTAAAAAGTATATAAGTAAATAGAGGCACCTGGGTGGCTCAGTCAGTTAAGCATCTGACTTTGACTTTGGCTCAGGTCATGATCTCACTGTTTGTGACTTCAAGCCCCGTGTTGGGCTCTATGCTGACAGCTCAGAGTCTGGAGCCTGCTTTAGATTCTGTGTCTCCCTCTCTGTCTGTCCCTCTCCTCCTTCCTCTCAAAAATAAACAAACATTATAAATAAATAAGTAAATAAATAAATAAAGTGTTGAATGAGATCATATCTTTAGACATTTTAGCCCATATTAAGCATTCGGTAATTGCTCATTCTTACTATGTTTGGAAATTAGTCTGTCCCTATTCATAATACCAGGCAATTCCCTTCACCCCAAATCAAAGTAAAATGCAAAGAAATTGTCTACATTTTTAAAGAAGTTTTATTTTTAAAACACATGCAACCAGCTGCATTATCCATATATCTACAATAGCAGAGAAACAGTGATGGTGGACCATCCCCATGGGGGACAAATATCCTTTGGCAAAACAAATAACAGAAATAACTCCAAATACAATAACACAGCACATAATAAGATTAAATTAAGATAAGGAACGGGCTACTGAGAAGAGTCATGAGGGTGGAGCAGGTGTGCCTCACTGAGAAGCGTCGGGTTCAGGTGACCTTCCCTGGATACTTCTTACACCTGGGCTGGAGCAGCTCAGTTCAGTTCCAGATCGTCCATGTATTCCTGGACCCAGGAGTCACTGGGGTTAGCACAAACTTGTCTGCCCTTTTTGGTTTGGAATCTATGGAATGAAGAATGATTAGATTAGAAGATTAGAATCCCATGGGACCTTGCCTGTGGTAGATATCTTCCTCTGCTTGACCATAGTTCATGTTGGACAGCTCTAATAGATGGGAAACCCTTCCTGAGTGGTGCTAGAACTAGACTCCTTTTGCTTTTACTCTGTATTTAGCTCCAACTCCTGGGTTGCCCAAATTAGGAACAAATGGGTTTTGCAATTAATATAGATACATCTTCCCATTCATTCTCTATTGCCCTTAGCGATGACTTTTCCACATGTTTTTCTAAGCATGGTTTAAGAAATCACCCCACATTTCTTGCCATCTTTTTTAATTTTCCTAGTTTCCTGGACTTTGGCTAACTTTCTCTTCCAGGAGCTCTCTTCATCTCCCTTGGCTCCCATCCAGCCCTCTCCACAACTCAACAGGTGACTTCATGACTTGATCCTCACTGATTCTGGGAGAGCTTCATTCCACCCTGAGAACTGCCTCCATACTGCTTGATTCAACTCTCCCCTAACAAGCCCCCTTTTCTAATCCTGTCCTCACCCTTGCTTCCCAGAGCAGCCTTAAGGTTGATACTCACACCACAGCTGGCTGGGAGCAGAGGCTGCTGGTCTCAAAGTAATCCACCACAAAGTTTCGAGGGAGCTTCCGCAGGGCATAAGAGAAGCAGCAGGCGGTGGGAGGGTCTGAGCCCACTGGAAAGAAATGCAGGGGTAAGATAGAAGTTCTACAAGGATATGTTAATTTTGGCTTCTAATCATAGATATCCAGTGACCATCTCTGCAGAGCTATCAGATCCCAAAATATGGTCCTTTGTATCCAATCCCACTCACCCTAAGTATGAATCTTATTCTGAATAGAAGATTGTAAGAGAATGTCATGAGAGAATTCTAGAAGATTGG